TAATCTACTGTGTACCGAGACATAAATGTCAGGACTATGTAGTAATAAGGTTATACTGTGTACAGAGATTAAACAGTCTGGATTAGACAGTAATTAGGTTCTACTGTGTACAGAGACTAGACAGTCCTGGTTAGACAGTAATTAGGTTCTACCGTGTACAGAGACTAGACAGTCTGGATTAGACAGTAATTAGGTTCTACTGTGTACAGAGATTAAACACTCCGGATTAGACAGTAATTAGGTTCTACTGTGTACAGAGATTAAACAGTCTGGATTAGACAGTAATTAGGTTCTACTGTGTACAGATATTAAACAGTCTGGATTAGACAGTAATTAGGTTCTACCGTGTACAGAGACTAGACAGTCCGGGTTAGACAGTAATTAGGTTCTACTGTGTACAGAGATTAAACACTCCGGATTAGACAGCAATTAGGTTCTACTGTGTACAGAGATTAAACAGTCTGGATTAGACAGTAATTAGGTTCTACTGTGTACAGAGACTAGACAGTCTGGATTAGACAGTAATTAGGTTCTACTGTGTACAGAGACTAGACAGTCTGGATTAGACAGTAATTAGGTTCTACTGTGTACAGAGATTAAACAGTCTGGATTAGACAGTAATTAGGTTCTACTGTGTACAGATATTAAACAGTCTGGATTAGACAGTAATTAGGTTCTACTGTGTACAGAGATTAAACACTCCGGATTAGACAGTAATTAGGTTCTACTGTGTACAGAGATTAAACAGTCTGGATTAGACAGTAATTAGGTTCTACTGTGTACAGAGACTAGACAGTCTGGATTAGACAGTAATTAGGTTCTACTGTGTACAGAGACTAGACAGTCTGGATTAGACAGTAATTAGGTTCTACTGTGTACAGAGATTAAACAGTCTGGATTAGACAGTAATTAGGTTCTACTGTGTACAGATATTAAACAGTCTGGATTAGACAGTAATTAGGTTCTACTGTGTACAGAGACTAGACAGTCCGGGTTAGACAGTAATTAGGTTCTACTGTGTACAGAGACTAGACAGTCTGGATTAGACAGTAATTAGGTTCTACTGTGTACAGAGACTAGACAGTCTGGATTAGACAGTAATTAGGTTCTACTGTGTACAGAGATTAAACACTCCGGATTAGACAGTAATTAGGTTCTACTGTGTACAGATATTAAACAGTCTGGATTAGACAGTAATTAGGTTCTACTATGTACAGAGACTAGAACGTCCGGGTTAGACAGTAATTAGGATCTACTGTGTACAGAGACTAAACAGTCCGGATTAGATACTAATTAAGTTCTACTGTGTTCAGAGACGTAACTGTCCAGACTAGACAGTTATTATGTTCTACTGTGTACACAGACAAAACTGTCCAGACTAGACAGTAATTAGGTTCTACTGTGTACAGAGACTAAACTGTCCGGATTAGACAGTAATTATGTTCTACTGTGTACACAGACTAAACAGCCCGGACTTGATAGTGAATAAAACCCTACGGTGTTCAGAGACTAAACTGTCCGGATTAGACATTAATTAGGTTCTACTGTGTACAGAGACTAAACTGTCCGGACTTGACGTTAATTTGGTTCTACTGTGTACAGAGACTAAACTGTCCGGACTTGACGGTAATTAGGTTCTACTGTGTAGAAAGACTAAACAGTCCGGGTTAGATAGTTTTTACTTTCTTTGTGTACCAACATCAAACTGTTTGGACTACATGGTAATAATATTCTACTGTGTATAGAGACTAAACAGTCGGGACTTGACGGTAATTAGGTTCTACTGTGTATAGAGACTAAACAGTCGGGACTTGACGTTAATTAGGTTCTACTGTGTATAGAGACTAAACAGTCGGGATAGATAATAAAGAGGTTCTACTCTTAACCAACATCAAACTGTTCGGTCCGGACAGTAATAACGTTTACTGTGTATGAACAACGAACTAGCTGTCCTAGATAGAAGTAAAGTTCTTCTGTGTACGGACACCAAACTGTCCGGACTTCATTGTAATAAGGTTTGATTGTGTATGGACACCAAATTGTTTGTACTAGAAAGAAATAAGGTTACACTGTTTACGGACATCAATGTGTCTGGACTAGATAGTAAAAATGTTCTATTGTGTACGGAGACCAAACTGTATGGACTAGTTTTTACAGACAACAAGTCTCTCCGGAATAATTGGGTTCCGTTGTACACAGAAACAAATCAACCCAAGTTAATAAAGGGGTTTTCTATACAGTTACCTGACTCTCTGGACTATTGTTCTTTTTACAGAACTCGAACCACGCTATCTAGAATATGAAGGTTCTACTGTATACAATTGTTAAACTGTTTGGAATAACGAGGTGTTTTGAACGTTCACCACGCTATCTAGAATATGAAGGTTCTACTGTATACAATTGTTAAACTGTTTGGAATAACGAGGTGTTTCTTTTTTCATAAATTAACTGTCCGACCTTACTGAATAGTACTTAAATGACCGAACTATTCATTGAGTTCGGTGTATTTATATCTAAAGTATAGTATTTTTGTAAGTATTTCCGTTCCCAGACATTCCCCGATCGTTCTGGTGTGTATAAAAGCATACTTTTTTTCAAGTAAACTTGTATGACGAACCTACATTCCGTTACTAATCTGCGTCATTCCATGATTTATCATATGTAAACCTGTTACCTTCAGTGAGTCGAATACGGCTGCCGGAAACTACACACATTAAATTTTCAGTCTTTTCACTGAATATTATTTAAATGTTCTACGTTGATCCCCCACCCCATCCCCACCTCTGAGCCCCTGAGAGAAGAGAAGAGTTTTAAAAAGTTTTTAAAAAACATCAACAGGACATGGAAAGATATAATAAGCTGTATCAAAGTGCTTCTTCATGAATTTACTGTTGAAAACATACAGCTGAAATTGTGAAATTACATACATATATGTCCGGTTACAAAGCGGTAATTTATTTTTACCGAGTGTATCATAAAATGTATATATTTACTGGTAGTCATGGAAAACCCGATTGTTATATACTTATATCAACATGTCCCCGGATATGCTTGATCACTCCAAAGTCTGAAGATCGGCTTGTGGTTTTCAGATGTTTTGCTTGAATTAACGGATGGGACAAATTCTAATTTCGCCAAGGAAAGAAAATGTTAGAATACATTAAGTTGATATTTGAAGGGAAAAAAACTTTCATTCGAAAAAAATCGAAGTTGAAAGAAAGTAAAGCTCATATATACTCATGCTTGGGAATTCATTTTGATATGCGATTTAAGGAATTAATCTCAGAATTTGCAATTTTAGCGAGCCTTTGTAGAACTAAACGGATATTTGCCTATGAGTTTTGTAGATCACATATCAAATGGAAATGAATTAAGATCCTTTTTATCACAAGATCTATCATTAGATTATCCAGGCAAATTTCACAGAAAACTTGATGTCATTACTATATCTAAGATTTCCATTGTTACGCCACAATGCAGTATGTAATTGTGCGGCATCTTCACATTGTCTAGACCCGATGTCACAACAGGTTATATTACGCATTGTAAACATATTAAAGGAATATATTCACTAAATAACAACACAACCAAGCGATCAATGATTCGTAATGACAATATATTTTTGTTCTAATTAATTAACAACTAATGATAAAATAAGTTATCAGATCCATCATTTTGCATCCCATTTAAACTAAATGATTTTAAGGGGAAAATGTGGAATGTTTATTTTTTAAAAAGATAACCCATATTTAGCTATGTATATAATTTGTGCATCTTTTAATATATACAAAGCCATTTACAAACATGGCAGGTTCCATTGGACTGAAAAATAAAAATGCAAACTTTTTGTCTGTCTTTGCCAACAGGTATTTTGTAGCTTCATTGATTTTTTTCTTAAAACCATTTTTTACTGGCGGCAGTAAAACAGATTTTTAACACTATAATAAACCAATAAACAAAATGTGAACGTGCCAAAATGAACATACATAATAATGAATCTAAAGGGGATTCTTGGAGCATTCTTTCAAAATATTGCATGTAATTCGATCAAATCTTGACTTTGAGGCAAATTGCCCCTACCCCCTCCTGACCATACACGATTCTCCTGATAATAAAGATTTACAAGTGCTACCTTTGTCTAATTTTTAAGAACGATAATTACAGCTCCGTAACGTCCACTGTAAACACAACGCACGCATCGAGATGTTGGTCTTTTTCCATCCTGTATATGACTTCCTGTATGGATGGGACTTTATTGAGTACCGATGGAAATTCATTATAGATTCCTACTAAAAATACGCAACAATTGTCCCGTTTACCCGCTGTTAATAAGGAGAACTTCTTTTTATTTTGTGATCTTATAGTACAGGCACTGAAGTTGAGAAGTGATTAAATTTTTCGTCTTTTCCTAACATTATTTCTGTATTTAATTTTACAATGGTGTGATATTTCATGTTGGTCTCATATTAAATATTGGCTGTAAAACATGTTTATCGGCCAATGAATTAATCATATCAATACAAATTATTTTTTCATAGATTTTTGGCGATTTTCCCTACCCATAACACTTTATAAGCAATATAGATGTACTTGATGAACCTATAATTTACATGTAAACTCGGACTGTATATATTTTTGTCGATTCCGTCATTTTTAAAAGTTTTCAAGAATTAATGTGAAACTATTGGGATTGATTGCTAATTTAGATGAAATATGTTGTACAATCTTGTGATGATGACACAGATTTTACGTTACATTCGATCAATTCATTTTGAAATGTATATAGTATAGTTCATGATTTAGTTATCGATAAATCACTTGATTATCAGGTAGCACGTGATTATGATAATATAGATTTCATATTTGCTACTTATTTATATCATATCATTGCGACACTCCTGTGTCTACACATGTGCGCAGTTGTAATGGAATTTCGACTTTTTCGATACGCACTATAGAATTTCTGGGGACTTCCCCAGTCTAAAAATAGGTACAGCAAGCAGTGGTGGCGACACAGATGGTGAATCGACATCAGTGTTATTGATAGGTTCACGGTAAGTCTATTTTCGTTCTTGTATTGTAAAATTTTGACATTTCTTATTATTTATAACTTTTGTTTACTGTTATTATATAAAAGGATGCAAATTTGGAACTACAAAACATTGGGAACAGTAGAATCTGTCCGAGTATTAAGAATTTTCAAACGTCCTCTAGATTGTTCTTGTTGTTCACTCAGGTATCGAGGCTCCTAACAATTGAGGTACACGAAGGGGGGTTTACATAATTTTGTTTAAACAATGCGACTCCTTGCAGCAATATTGAACTTAAATAATTATCACGAATAAGGGCCACGTTATAATGTGTTTGAATAAATTTCTGTTTCAGTAGTTTTAACAGAAAATAAAACGATTTGATCCTCGGGAACAAAATGAGTATGGATGGCAATGTTAACACTAGTGGGACTGACCTCACATCCATAAGCATGGAACAGGAGCTTGATTCATACAAGGAGAAAGTAGACCATATGAAAATGTTAGTCAAACAATATAGTCAGGAGTTACAGTCACATAAGATCAGAAAGGAAGGAGTTGAAACGGTATCCAAACTTTTACAAGAAGGTAGACAAGAAATCGCATTATTGCAGAAAAAATGTAAAACTCAGGACACGGCCATCAGGAACCTTCAAAGTCGTTTGACGTCAAACGGGTTGTCGGACAATATTACCATGGAGGAAGGAGATATTTTTATGCCCGGAACATCGAATCAATTGCTTGATAATTTATCACGGGAAAACGCCAGACTACGTACTCTCCTTCGAGGCGCCTCTGTAAATCCGGAAGAAATAACCACACTGCAGCAGGTTAGTTGAGCGTTACTGCGATTGGCGTGAATTTAGGCCAATCGTTGGACGTTCTGGTTTTTCCGCACTACGGGGTCATTTTATTGTAGAATTCAGGGGATTTACGTATTGATATAGTAATGAAAATACCGAAAAGATCTCTATATAATATCAGAAATCTATACAAGATTCATACACATAGGATAAATGTAAACCTATTCGGCCTGATAAACATTAAAATAAATTAATAGAGAATGAAAAATGAACGAAGCACACATTTTACGGTAATTTGATGTTTTAAAGGCACACTAAGTATATTCCATTTTGGATTATTTATGTGACAGAAAGTTATAAGTTATTGTAATTTTGATTATTTTAAAGATATTTTCAACCTTTTTATTCTTGTTAGCGGTTTTTAATTATGTCAGTTGAAATGATACATAGTATTTCCGTTTAGTTTTCGATTAATCACTGTCATTAATTATCACTATTCATAGTTGACAGTAGTTCCTATAGCTTTAAGTCATGTATTGAGATTTATATGTTATTAAACCAAGTCATTAGTATTTTAGTACTGTTACACATCTTTAGTAAATCTGTTGTAAAGTTGGGTTTATGTTTTTTATCTGCTTTTCAGTCTCGTAATTTCTGTTATTCTGTTTGAAATTGAAATAAGGTAACATCAATTATATTGATCGATTTATTTATGAACAAACAGGCATTGAAGAGGAAAGATGAGACAATAAGCAGCCAGACACGGACATGCGAAGAATTACAAATACGAGTTAATGAATTAGAGCAACTAATGGGTTCATCTGAAAATGTAAAAGATCAAACAATTTCAACCCTACAGACAACCGTCCACAAAATGAAAGAAGAATTCCAAACGCGAGACGTCTTATGTCACTCTCTGGCAGAAGAAACTACCAATTTACGTCAGCAACTCCACGACGTCGCAGTCACATGTCAGCAAATGGCTCTGCGATTGGAGCGTTCTGAAAACGCTTCTCGAGCACTGGAACCCAAAGTGACAGCTTCAAATAAGGTAAACTATGAAATACAAATAGAAAAGTAAAATCTCATTGTTTTTATTTTGAAAAGTAAAATATTACCAATAACACTTCGTATAAAAATTCAGTATTGCAGTATACACACTTTTGTTTTCTCTTTTCACAGATAAGCGAGGGCAGTGATGAAACCAAGGAAAAACTTATTCAGGATAACCGGATACTGCAAGAAAAAGTTGAAGAGGTAAATTCCTTACAACATCACAATATCGAAGTTCAAGAAAAACGTGAAACCTGAAAAAAAAGTATTAAAATAAGTCTGAAGGAATCTTTAATTCGTATGATTATGTTTTCTAGGGCCTATGTCAAACAGACAAAATGTACATTTTACTATATGAAGATACTAATCAAGAGAGACGCTTGACTTCATTAACCATGTGACATGTGACATTTAGTATTTTAAGTACTTCAGCTTCAAATCGGGTCTGATTCCAGGTGGTTACGATGAACAAGAGATGGCAAGAATATGAAACTCAGAGAGAACAGCACGTGAGGTATCAGGAGGCGGTAATTCGGACGCTGCAGGGCCAGCTGGCTTCTGCCCAGGCCAATCAACTTTCAATTGCCAGGTCAAAAATGATCAACCAGGCTCTTGACGAGGCAAAGAGGCGTCTGGCTTTCGCAGAAGAAGAAAAACGGAGAGTAAGTCACACCAATATTTAAATTGATTCAAAGTTTGGAGTCACTTTTTGGTCCCATGAAAAGTTGTAGAATTATACCTGAATAATGTTTCAAATTTTGAATTTCCGATATTTTACAAAATTTCCTTGTAGTATAATGTTATCTGATTACTATATTTGTATGATAAAATCACCTCATTCGGTTTCCACTCTACTTTGATTAGACAAAGAAATTCAACTACACATGTATCGAATATACAGTCGTTTAGCTAAAGCCTGCTTCTATTTTCTTAAAATGTAAAATTGTTCACAATATTTCAGTAATTGAAATGATTCTGATGATTTCATTTATTCTATGATAGCTTGAAACTGAACTTTTGGAAAGGAACCAGACTTTGATTGAGCAGACGACAGAAGTAGAGCGACTGAAAAACGAATTAGAGCTTTCCCACCATGGCAGTGGTACTCGGAGTGATGTAGAAATCCTAGACGCGTTAAAAGCACAAATCCAAATATGCACGGAAGATTTTGAGTCGGAGAGACGTGACCGAGAAAAAGCACAGAGTAGAGTTTCGACCTTGGAAGCAGAGCTTCAGAAAGTGAGAATGGAGGTGAATTTTTAAATAGACACAGGAATGATTGTAAAGCAAATCGTTTTACACATTATTTATTTCGATCAGTCAATGATATACACAATGTGAAGGATAGACGTCATGTTTCATGCAGAATAAGATGATATCAATGATTGTTATCGTGTTAGGTAATATAGAAATATATTTACCAGTTCCTTTATGTGACATATTGAAACATTCATAGTTAACATTAATAATCATTCAGGAAGCAAAGGAAGTCTGGAATCATGTACATGGATCACATGAATCAGGTAACTGAAAATAGATAAATAGTTCTAATCCTTTACAACGGAAATAAGTCGATGTTACATGTACCTGTCGTTTTCAGAGAGATCGACTCGCACAAGCGGCTGTCCACCGTAATGAACCACAATACAACGCTCCATACTACCAGAACCAAGACTTTTACAATAATTTCGATGTGCCAAACAATTACCAAAATGTTCCTCATTACCAGGTATGTTTAAATTCTGTCTGCCCTTGGACGTATTTCGTGCAATAATATTGCATGCAATCCCAAAATACAGTATGCATACCGTAAATGATTTTATATCTATTTTCATACATGTAAAATGTATCGTCCATTTCCTACATTCATTTCAAAGACATTGACTCATTATTCGGCACAATATTCTTAATGAAAATAATTGACATGCCAATCACAAAGATGTAGGTTTTTGCAGTAGTCCCTGGAGACGTCCTGCTCATTGAATATAGATACAGATATTTCGCTTTGAAATAAATTGAAGGCATGTTCAGTGAATAGCAGCTGCTTATTTTTTATTAGATATGTATATATCCTAGAAGTGTTGTACTTTAGCATGTATGCATACTCTTGTAGAACGAACTGGCGACACGGGGACCACAGAGACGCTTTGACATGTTGGAAGATAACGTTATCGATGGTGGTGTCCAGGTTGATGCACCACCATCTAGCGTTGAGAAAAAAGAAACGACTTCTGTAAGCACCAATGAATCAACTTATAAAAGTGATATGACTGATCCATTGTTGGGTGGGTTTCCTGTGCTGGAGGACGCGCCATTGCTATCGACTGATAAAGATATCTGTTTAGATGACAATGAAGAAACAACATGTGTTGGCGGCAGTGATGTCAATGAATGTCATTCGTCAAGGTCGTCGTCTCCTAGACGTTCTCCGAGGGCATCCCCTAGATCATCAAAAAGAGAATTGTTGACTTGTCCAAAATGTCGTAAAGAATTCACGTGTGATAAACATGGAGAATTGCTTGAACACATAGAACTTTGTTGTGATTAGAAAGAGTTGAAATTGCACCATACATTCAACTATTTTAAAAGGGTGTGAATGACACCATGGAAAGTGTTCAATGTATGATGCAATTTCAACTTAACCGTTCCTACTTAATCCCACCTCCACCCCAGGATGTGAAAAGATCATAAATTCTTCCAGAACCGCTCCGAAACCGAAGGTTATGGATATCCTAGTCTTCACTCCCATTTACAGGCAGATCACAAGTCGGAGAATGTAAACTGAAGGCAAGAGATGACGGGACATTTTATGTGAAATGAATGAAGGTTTGTTACTGTTCACAGTCGATACGAGATTCTTTATTTGGCAAGGAATCAACTATGAAAAGTAATGGGCGGTAATGACAAACCAGAATGGTTGTGGTATTTGAAAGTCAGATGTCATTATGTCAAACGATTGCCTATATTTACAACAAGGAAGATTTGTCAGAAGGCAGGAAGAGGAAGAGCCTACTAAAATGATAAAAGCGCATGTATTCAAAAAACACCGTCCTCCGAAACACGAAATACGATGACGAGGAAATCCGTCAAGAAGGATGTTTCTGAAAAAAATACCCTCACGTTTCGTTCTGAGGATCAAAACCTACTGAAACTTTCGCCAACTTGCATAATATGATAAACAGATAGTGGTCAATATTTAACTTTATACCACTGAATTTCAGTGGTCAACAATGTACATTGTTCAATGCACATAACACTGTTGTATATCTCCGGATGCTTATGAAATCTGCGATCATAGTCGTGATATCGTTCGTGCCGGATACAAAAGTCGTCGAGATATGCCTGCTCAAATAAACGATTAACAATACTGGTTAGATTGCATTGGGGCGATCTATCAATTAGAATATGAGATAAAGATATTATCAACATATTGTAACCCGATGTGCTGTATTTTTAGACATTCTCCCGGATATCGATATCAATCCTTATTGTAGCATGGATACTTAATTTAGATTTAAATGGTGCACTATTGAAATGGTGACGTGTGCACTATATTACCGGTTGTGCCAAAGTAGATGTGTATAGATATGATAAACTATTGCAGTGATAGATAAATCTGCCCTAGCTCTAACAAATTCAGTTATGAGTTCTATTAGTGATTCTGCAGGTCAGAATACATTCTGTAGAACGTTCATTCTCCTGTTGAATTTGTTTTGAATATGTTTTTGCTAATTAGGAATATTGCATGTATATATGTGTGTTATTGTATGTAATTTGATTAATTCTAAGCAAACGATGCTCGATTAGCATTCAACAATGTTATGCCAATCTAATTTTGTGTGTTTCAGTTACCAGTAAATAGATTTGCGTTAACTTAATTTGATGTAGTAAGATTCGATGAGAACTTGTTATAAAGGGTAATACATGTTTTGATGTAATGCCATACCAGTAGATTCAATGAAAATATAAATATATATGGCGTTATATAGTTTAAATACTATTATTCATGACATCATGTGGTTCACTGAGTATACGATCGGTGATTTAGTGTTTTATCAAATCTTGTTTATATTTTTACATTTCAGTTAAGTTATTTATGCTAACAGCTGATAAATCTGTTGCCTATTCTGTATATATAAATAATCATATCAATGAATAGTAAGTTTCTTGATTAAATCACTTAGGGTATTGTGTTCTGAATAGCAAAATACGTAAATTGTCAAAATGTTGTAACGATTACTCTTTTAGCATCACAAAATGCTTATTGTGGACATGGAACAACTATGTAAGTATGGGTTTTGAATATCTAAAATGCCGTTTATCCCTGATCCTGTCATTTAAGATGTTCCAATGGAGCTATCGCCTCGTCAAAATATCAATATAGTTGGTATGTCTGTAAAATCTGGTCCTATGGTTTAGAGTTTAATTGCCTCTGTCCTGTCATGTCTCATTTACATGGCATGGTATGTAAAACTGAGATCTACATGATATGTATGAAGTAAAGGCACTAAATTGAACTACTTTCAATTCACTCGTATATCATCGCGTCACACCTGACATTTCGTTTACCTAATTTATACCTGTATACATTTGTATAACAAATCAACATTAATTTTACGTTATTTTTACACATATTGTACATAATTACATCATATTAATAATTATTTGTATTGTGCGACCTCAGGAAGTCATATTTCACATTTTCTTGAATGTTTGTACAATTAAAGAATAGGGAATTAAGAATGGGTCTTGTTTTTATGTAGAAACATAGCTTTTATGTTATGGCTCTCTCTTTTAATGTGCAGACTTGTTAACTTCGTATGCAGAATAATTTTATAATACACGATTGATATTTATAGTATGACTTATGTATTATTCGTACATGGTAGTGTTTGCAAATGTTGTTAGTTCATGTTTTTTGGTGATAAATAAAGCCACAACAGTATGTAAATTAATAAGTTTATTATATCAGATTTCTAGTGATTTCTAAAGATGTGTCAAACAGATATGTTTGGAGACCATGTTGCACTTTTACATAATGTTATTTAAAGGGCCCATGCCTATAGAACAGATGTACAACATTGTTCTTAAGTAAAGTATCCACGGATATATATAACTTTTCAAATATGGCGCGAAACAACTTCTAGTAATCATCACATTCCCGATGATCATTTCTACTTGGTTTCGTTTATTTAATATTATCAGACATAATACAACAACGAAATTCATTTAATTATGGGGCTAGCGCACTTCGCCAACTAGATTGTGACCATTCTGATATTCCTCAATCATCTGGTAAGCATCACTGATGAGTGCTGAAAGGACGAAATAGCTGAATGAAGTGGTTTCATTATTTGTCATGCAGTAGATTCTAAACATGAATTGAAAGTTGCATTCACTTGTATGTCTTTTGTACAAAATTCACTAAAAGAAGTACAAAAATGTACCAGGTATTTTCCATTTAACTTATGAAATGGTCTACAGTTTCCTATAAAGATTATATTTTGAAATTCTCTTTTTCCACAATTCAAATCCGTCAAATCCTATCATATTCAGAGTCCTTCAATACATGAGAATGTTTTCACTTTCTGACGTTCTAGAAAGGTCGAACCCATCACAACCAGGAAGTGTGTCAGTGTTCGTCGTTTATGCACTTCAGATATATAGAGAATTCATTATATTGATTTTCTCATTTTAACATGTAAAACAAAGTGTGAAAATCTCAAATATTATGTGAACGGAAACTACATTAGCCATGTTAGCCACAGTTTTCCAACAATATAAGAGGTTTATACTACGAGATAAAGATGACAGGCACCAACTTCACACTTCCCGATGCTGATTCTAACATTGCCAAAGTTGTGATTTTCATTTGGTGTTCAACGGGATATACGGGATGATTCTTTATACAAATTAATTATAAAATTCAAAATAGTTCAAAATTTTCGTATTCCCCTTTCTGCGTGAAGCAGACAAATTATCAGCGTATCAATACGAAAAGAGTAATATATGATAAAATGTTTTTCATTTCTTCCGTCCAGTTTCGGCGAAACAATCGCAAAGAATTAAATTGCTCTCGAAGCAAGAGGTTGTAGTCGACATAATGATACCAGATATTAAATCAGCCGTCTAATGGCCTCCTGTCTTGTAGATGTACCATAGATCGATAATGACAATACATAATCCTTAACGGTGCATGAATGCGGTCTAAAGAACATGTCAATTGCCAACTGCACTCGTTCTATTGTGTTGATATCATTATGACATTCAGTCCTTGTATGCTATGAATATGGTTTGGTTTATCATGGTTTGTATATTACGATGAGGCATATAGGAAAATAACAGGATAGGGAAATTGATTTATTCTTCTTGTAGAAGACTTTGAATTTCATATAAAATATTTTCCTTATTGCTTAGACTTACTGTACCAGAAATGATATAGATAGCATAAGAGTAGAAAACAAATAAAAAAAATTCACGGATTTACTTTCAGTTTCGTTTAAGTAATCTTGGAATTCATTTGTCTTCAGTTCCATATTCATGACTATTCGCTTTCGGTTTATAACTTAATGTTTTATTTTCATACTTTCATTTCATTTCCCAAATTAACCGATTTTGAAAAATGGGTATTTCTACTTCCGTTTTTGCCATAATTATCCTTTATGTGATATTTATAATCAGATCTGTTATTGATTTACCTACTTCTTTTTTATGTCGGGATTCCTACTGTCGCTTTTGATCTTCGTTCGTTTCAGTATAAGATGGAAAATGTACCTACTAGTATATTCATTAGTTTGAACTTCTACCAAACATCGCAAAACCATTTCTGTGATTAATATGTTTATACTTTGTGAAATAAGCACAGGAATGGAGAGATGGATTGTTGTTACACACACTTCTGTACAGAGTAATATACGTTACCTGTAGTTTTATATAATTTTTTCATATGCTTGCATTTTAAATTTTGTGTTTGAGTTCATGCTGATCAGTCAAACACAGTAATATGAAATGGAGACCCTATTCATTTCCGCACAGCAAAGATTAATCATGAAAATTCAATGAATAGCCTTTAGATTTTTTGGTCGACATTTATTTAAACAGTTCTTTTCGTGTAATGTTAATTCTACGGCTTACCTTTCTATATCTATATCGAATATTGCAATCATTATCACGTATATTTGTTTTCACTCATAGATGACGACTGGAAAAGAGATGGTTGATATCCTATATGTCGTCGAGGTCTTTTCTTCAAATTCATTATTTGGTCAATTTAAATCCTGAGGTCCGAATTGTACAAAACCTAGGTAGATGAAGACATAATAACCAGATATTCTTTTTGAATATTTTGAAAATGATGTTCAAATTTAAACCAGGGTAGATAAAGATGAAAAACCATCAATATTCGGTAATAATTTCGATTTAATGAAATACCTTTGTATTAACACATAGGTGATATTTACAATAAGTATGATAACACGTTAAAATACTGTTATATTTATTTAATTACCAAAAGTTTGTCTTTCCGAATAACTTGAACCGAACAATTTTCAAAGGCAATTAGTTTTTGTTTTGTTTTGTTTTTTTTTTCTTGAAAAAAATCAAGTCTCAACATTGACAGCATAGCTACTGCCTACCTATACACTTGGACTCAAGTGCCAGATTACAAACAAATGTTAAATGGAGAAACAATGAGTCTAACTTCTTTAGCCGCTGTCGTCTGGTTGAATCAGGTAGTAATTAATGGCCACGAAACATCACGTCTCCCTGAATTGATTACACTTCCTGACACGCTTGATAACACTGCTTTCACAATGATTCATTTATCACATCTAATCTGAATTCTTATCTGAAGACCACACATGTTTCTTTCCAGGAAGTACACTTTAAAGCGTTAGTGTAACAATCGTGCGAATTCATATGTGTTCGTTATATGCTTATATAATGGCTTAACTTTAAGTGCCAAGCTTGTATAAGGTTACGAGTAGTTTGTTGTAATGAAGTGCAATTTATTTGTGCCAGTGCCTGGCCTGAATTACTCTGAACTTAAGAGCGTCTTGATATCTACTCTAGGCCAAAAATGCATCAAGTAGCTCTAGGTTTTAAGTTTTCCTTGACTTTGGTAGATAACATTTACTTATCTTTGATATCCCCCATTTCTTATTATTATTTGACATTTTCTTAGAAGTTGATACTATGATAAACAAAAAGCGCAAATACCTTATGTTTATAGGTGTTGGTGTTATTGAAACAGGTATTTTTGTAGAGGTCTTCAATTTATAAAAGAAAAAAAAATCTGAAATATTATTTGTTTGTTTTTCTAACAGCTTAGATCGCAAATCAACTTTGAACAATCCCCTGGAGAAAAAAACTCATTAAGAGTATAACCTTTTTAAAAGAGAATATCCAGTACTATAAAGGCACAATTTAGCCTCTACCATTGCACCATTGCATTTTGTTCAGAAAATTTGAATGAACATTTGAAAGTTCTCGAGTCTGTTCATTTTACACTATATAATCATTAAACCGCTGTATATAGTGTTGTGACATTGCAAGTAATTTGATAACTTGTGATTACCTGTTAGTTCAGCCGTTACTAATTCGTTTGCCTCCATATCTCTCTAGTGAATCGGTGGACAGACTGGCCGTTTTCATGGGGTACTTACTGTTCATCGTCAACAACAACATTTAACATTATCATAGTATCCATTGTATGTATCAGGGTGATGCATTTATTTAATATCGGGATGTTGGTTATGTATTTTTATAATATCGAGATGTAGGTTATGTAATTCTCTAATATATGGATGTGAGTTATGTATTTCGTTAATATACGGATGAGGATTATGTAATCCTTTAATATCGTAATGAGGGTAATGCATTACTTTATGATAGTTATGCAGGTGATGAGTCTCTTTACTCTTACATATGACACGCATTAACTTTATCAAGGCTTTCTCTGGGATATTCCAGGTGTTAGGACGGCAAACAATTTAGTTAAGCTGAAATACTAAAGACCAGAACAAATGTCAACTCAGGATGGATGACTGATAACATTACAGGTCGACAGGGTCTATCACGTGTGATTGACAGTTTGGTGGTTGTAACAGGAAACACAAATAATTTATCAGCCGTGTTCTTCATCCTGCTTCAAGACCAGATAATTTTCTGTATGGTCACTAGCTTTACAAAGGCCTGGTATCACCAGGCTGTTCCACAAACCTTGCAATATAATACTGACTCAGTGGATACTAGCTATAGACAGGTCAGGTATCATTAGGCTAGTGTATAAATCTTACTATATAATACTGACTGTGGATACTAGCTATAGACAGGTCAGGTATCATTAGGCTAGTCTATAAATCTTACTATATAATACTGACTGTGGATACTAGCTATAGATAGGTCAGGTATCATTAGGCTAGTCTATAAATATTACTATATAATACTGACTGTGGATACTAGCTATAGATAGGTCAGGTATCATTAGGCTAGTCTATAAATATTACTATATAATACTGACTGATTACTAGCGATAGACAGGTCAGGTATCATTAGGCTAGCCTATAAATCTTACTATATAATATTGACTGAGTGGATACTATATAGATAGGTCAGGTATCATTAGGCTAGTCTATAAATCTTACTATATAATATTGACTTAGTGGATACTATATAGATAGGTCAGGTATCATTAGGCTAGTCTATAAATCTTACTATATAATACTGACTGATCACTAGCTATA